GGGGGGGGTGCAGACAGAAAGTAATCTACTTTTAGGAAACCTATTAAAAAGAAAAAAAACACCACCCTACTTACTAGATCTAATTCTACCAAACAAGACGCAGTTTTTAAGTGTCAAGAGATACAGTACCATGACTTCTATGTCCCAAAAAGCTACGCTAAGAAAAGTATAACCATTTTTTGTAGTTCCCCATAAAAAACCCACAATGTGCTTTATCTTCCAGAGTCTCCAACCTTGAGATAGTAAAAAACTTTATGCCAGTTTGTTTACTAAGCTCCAAGCCTGCCTTGACCTTATGACACAGCTATTATCTACAGCTGATTTTTACTGCACATGTTCTCTCCAAGTACTCTAATCAATGACACCTTTGTTAGAATTGGTCAAATTTCCAACAGAAAATGCTTTCATTATAAAAACGCAAGCTCAGTTATACTGATTTGACTTTTTTGTAAGCAAAAATACCCCACTTTATGACCTTCATCCACTGGTTTCAAATTAGATACCTCAAAAATATTGTTTGGTTAGAAAAGTGATGACCTTTACACAACATAAAGGCTTTTTGAAAAATGCTGGAATTTTCCCACAATCAGTCATGAACACAACATTTCAACTTCAGAGTCTTTTAGGCTAGTCTTTTTTCCCCCCCTCAAACAGACATGATGATTAGTTAACTTTAATTTCATGTGACATGAAACTTTCAAGTGCCTGTTCTTGTTTTCTTTCTGTGCTGAACATAAGCAAACATTCATTGACAAACCAGCATTTCCCAACAGATCACATTACTACAGTTTTATGCAATCCTACTGCTCAGATAATCAAAATACTGACCAATAAGAAGGCTTTTCAGTCTTCTGTATTCTTCATTTACATCAAACATGTCACCAGCAAATATCAACATAGGTTTTGTTCCTTCAGGACATTTACTGTTCTGCGGAATAAGAATTTTAAAACAGAACAAAAATTCAGACCGTGTTAGGGAATGTATTATAAACTTAATAGGTGGTTAGCCATTCAACATCAAATGAAAAATTGTTTTCAATTTTCAACAGTGATCAATGTGGACAGAGTAGACACTTTTTTTTTTTTTTTCCCCAATGAACACTGTATGTGTATGGAAGGACTTTGGTTTTAAAAGGGTGAATTCTATTGGGTTTTGTGCTGGATTAAAAAAAAGAGAGATTCTTTACTATAAAATGTATAAGATAACACCTTCTGGTGACAATGAGTGAAGTTGACTGCAGCTACTAACAAGAAAACTAAAATTAGAGGCAAACAAGTCTATTGTACTTCTGGCACTGGAGAGTACATGAAAAAGGCTAAAAGAATAGTTTAGTCAATCACCTAACTTTAATTCTTGCCAACAAATACATTTACTTAACTATAACTTCCCTGCTATAAACAGTCTTATGAAGATACACACTACAATCTGACTTCAAGGGGAAGATTCACCTTTACAAACCATAATTTCTTCACTATCCCTCCAGACTGCACTGCCAATTTCTACACTGTGAGAAGTAAGGACCGTAAAAATTCCGTATTTTTGCAGTGTATGAACTGCTTGATACCACACACATATGAAATATGTTTTAGTCTTGCCAAAATGAGGCTAACATAACCATAAAAGGTGAATCTTCTCTGTGTTTAAATAATCAAGATGTTAACTCCCTGTCTAAATTAAGTATAGTTCCCTGAAAACTTGCATTTATATGCTACTGAAAGCTAAAAAAGTTTCAGAATCATCTCTAGTCAGCAGAGTGACCCTCTTTGGTTATAATTTGAGAAGAGGGATCGCAGTTTTCAAAGCCTACAACAGTTTATACAGGAACCTACCATAAACAGAACCTGACTAAGGAATTTTGTAAATGTACCTCTGTAGTTAAAGAGGAAAACATTAGGAATAAACCAAGTCTAAAAAAAAAGAATTTGCAAAGAAAGTTGCAAGCTTGCTCAAAACAACCAAAATAAAATAAAAAGCAGAGCACAAAAATAACATTCTAGGGTACACAAATTAGCAATTCTCATATACTGCATAGAACACTTGTTTAAACAACTCCTCTCCTTACTACATCAAAGCACAGAAAAAGCCAATGCAGCAAAAAAAAAATCCACCAGTAGATGTCACTGTAATACCGAATTATTGATTCCTCACCTTGACATCTTTTAGGGATACAAACTTCTCAATGCCTAGCTCAATCATGTCTAGGACATGATAGTCAAACATGCGTCCTGTGAAAGTCAAAAAAGAAAATCCAGCTATGTAAACATTCATTGAAAACCAGACCTTTCATCCAAATAAAAACCCAAGTGAGACATATTACCTATTATCAGGTTGTTAGGTCGCTTCTTGTTATGAGAGCCAAACAGAAACAAAGAACAATCTGATTTCTTGGAAAAAAATTCCTACAATTGAGGAAAAGAACAAAACTCATGAGTTCCAGTTTGTAGTGTTTAAAATACCTGTGTTTAAAATACAAACACATGAGTTTAGGAGCTGCTTAATGAGAAAAGCACCTGCACTTACCAGAAGAGTTTTGAGCACATCCAGGTCCACATAAGCTAAAACTGGTAGCTGGATTCAAGGTTCAAATAACAATTCATTTCTTTTTTTATTTCCCATTTCAGTCTTAAAGATCAAGCCAGGCAATTTTTTCTTGCCATTTTATCTGTAGTGCCCTTTTTCGTAATTCCTCATTATTTGTTTTTACATAAGATACCTTCAACCACTTCTCCTTGCCTGAAGAGTAAGTATTTGCAAGTTGGCTGCAGTTGTAAGGCCTCATTTTAGTTACCCAGCTAAGCTTTATGCAGCATATTAGCTTTGCCTAACAGCTTCTGAACAACCAATTAATTCCCCCAACAGCAAGCCAAGAACATCTGCAAACACCTAATGTTCTCACACTTGGGCATGAGAATCCTACTACAGAGCAACTTCATGTCAATTTATTATTTAAGACTAAGATGCTACCAAGCCAGTGGCGACCATCATAGAGAAGATCTTTTCTCCAGGAGGAGCAGATAGAGAACCTATTATGGTATCATGGCTGGAGCCAACATTACAGCAATTCTTTCTGAGGATGTCCATCTCCAAAGCCTTTTTATTGCACTGCTGCTTCTCAAGTCAGCCCCTCATTCTGTGGATCAACCATAGCTCCTAGATATACACACACGCTATTTACCCAGTACTTCCCAGAAGTACCAGAGTTTCTATACCTGCACTTAGCAGTTGTGAAGCAGAAAAAGCCCTTGCATCTCCTCCCACCCCTGCAACAGCAGCAGCTCAGAGAGGACTTTGCAGCTCTGCCCCTCTGGGAGGTCAGAGAGACACCCCCATGAGCATCCTAGGCTGGATTAACTGCACGGACAAACCACGCAGCTCTGCCACCAGGTCCCTGAAAGATACTGACTGTAGACAGATCAGGAAGAGAACCACCCCCTTGAAACACTTGCTCATACAGCTCTGCTAACCACTGTGTGCTGATATATGTAAATTCTCTAACAGCTGTATATTTTATTAAAAAGATGCAACAAACTCAAATGCCTCAAGCATGTCCTGCACGTACTGCAACGTCACATACATTGCAAAATTGCCCTTTAAAAAAAAAAAATGCCTGTAACCCAGTTAAAAAAAAAACCAAACAAAAAAACAACAAAACCCCAAAAACCCCCACTAACTTGGTTTGACTTTCTGTGTCTTTCTAGGCTCTGATTATTTGTTGACACTGTTCTCAATGACCCAACCCCATTGTTTTGACATTACAAGAATTAAAGTTCCCTGAAGAACCCCGTTCTAAAATGTAAGAATTATTTTAAGTGCCATGTTTTCCCAGAAATTATCAGAAGTTTAAACCAGCGGTCAGCTGATGATCAGCTAGTTTCTCAATGACCGTGAAACCAAGTCATGCAGCTATGGGATTGCAAGAGGTTGGTTTCAGCAAATAATGTTGCAAGTCTTTCCTCGCTGCCTACAGTAAGTGTTCCATTCCATTCACGATATTTTAGGGATGGCTGCATTAATGTGCTTCATGCCAAAACCAGAACAGAAGCATGTACTACAACACCTCAGCATCGGTATTAATGCAGATTAAGTAACTTTCTACGTTGGTGTATCTATGCTGCAACCACAGTGATTTTTTGTTCCTAACACATTAAAAATGCTTTAACTCAACTGTCCAATACAACTTCAGCAGCTTCTCTAGCACTCACTATTGGCTGACTTCACTTTTTTAAAAAGGATCCTCAATGATTCTCTCTCCCCTCCTCTCCCTTTTTACTCACAGAGAATTCCTTAGATATATTTCCCCTTTATTTTCACAATCCCTTTCAGACAAGAAAGTGTATTTCTGCCCAGTGTGTATACATCAATCTTTTTTTCTTCACGCACAGATTTACTTAATACAATACCCCCAAATTCCCAACTTCAGTGTGCATTTTCAGCGAGTCATTTCAACAACTGCCTTACGCTTGGAAAGCCGACCCTTATTTCCCTATGTTAGTCAGCAGTGGCACAGAGCAAACATTACCAAATCACGATCACTGGGAACCAAAGAACTTATTTTGGGAGAATTAATTTTTGTCTTTATTGTAAAACTACAGCTCTACATCACCGTCTCCTTTCTCTCATTTTGCTGTAGGAAGTACATGTACTGCTTTTATGACAGACATACTTCAGCAGTTAAAGTAATGCTTTGACTGAAGTGCAAATGTGCACAATACAATCTTAGGATTAGCCCCTCTATTTTTTGCCTTCCTGCTCATAAATTATCCCGACCTTAAAGCACTGAATCAACACCAAATCCAGACAGAGGCATATCACCAAATGTATTTCCAAACACACACTCCCTTCCAAAATACCCTCCAAGCCTCTGAAGAGCCACTTTTGCAACCTCTTTGCAGGCCAAATACACATTTTAACTGAAATGGCGCATTTTTCTGACAGTTCTTGGCCGAATGTCGGAACAGAACTCTCAGCAGCCATCTCTCACTTGCACAGCTGATGCATGTGTTTGCATGTGGTACTCTGTTGGGCTTTTTTCTTCCTCTATTCAAACACGAGGAAGTCACAGAAAACTATAACCTCTCCGTTTAACTATTTTAATCTATGAATTCACAAAATTGAAAACAAGTTGTTCAGAAGCTATGGCACTACAGAGGACTGACTTAGAAAACCAAAATAAAACACTTTATTCTTCCTTTCATATCAAGCACTGTTACTTGTAATAGCATTACAGACGCCTACATTTGCCTGTCAGTTTACAGAAACATGCATTTAAGGTAAAGACAAAGTCCTCACAGCATGACAATTCTGTCTTGCAGCCAGAGGAAAAATGTGCCTGCTGACACCACAAATCTAGACATAACCCTACCCTCAACTTATCCAAACTCCCTATAAACTTTATTTCTCATCTAGCTCCTCACAAACTAATAGCAAATTATCCTCCAATAAAGTTCCTCATGACTTGAAGGCTGTACAATGTCACAAGAGAAGGTGTGGTTTATACTTACCAATGACGTTTGATCCTCAAAAGGCCTAGTAATATTTTTCCTGAGTGGAGGAAAAAAAAGGGGGAAAAAAAAAGATTAGGAAAAAAACCACAAAAAACCCCCAATGAACAGGCCCAGATAAGCACTTCTAATTAATTCTCTGGTAACACTAAAATTCTGCCTTCTACTGGAAACTCCAGCAGTAGAGGTTCAGTTTTAGTTCAAACTCTAAGCCATATTAATGCTGCCAGGAGTTCCTTAGTGCAGTTGCCATTTTAAGTACCTTCCTCCATGTTTTGCATCTCCTGGGGCCTGACTTCCAGACCACCACCAGTGACAGTTAATAAACAACCGCCCGTGCTTGTTCATCTAACATTAAATTTGCACTACACTGTACAGATACTGGGTTCCCATTCTGAGCAAGACGTATCCGTCATTATAATCTGTAACTCAAATTTTTAAGAATTTGGATATAAGAACTCCAGCCTACCCACTGGACACAGAACCTCGCTAGCTGTTTGCACAGATCAGTCAGAGAAGCCAACTGTTCAAGTTTGCTGAATCTTGCTCCGTAACATTTGGCACAGAACCGGGCTGAGCACCAATGCTGATCATATGTAGCTTGTTTCCAGTCTACTGAAATTTATGATGAGTCTCAGTCACCTTCTGCAACCCTTTCCATTGTTCAAGCCCCCACACTAGCCAGCATCTCTATTCATGCTTTGAAATTACCAAAAGCTGTCTCATCAGAAGACTCAAAGATGTCAAAGTGAGACCACTTACTTTTTATACAGCACAGCAAAAGGCTTCTTCACAGCATACTGCAAAAGAGAAAGTTAAACACGTGTTATCTCTAATACATTTAAGTACACAGCACTGCTTTTTCTAAAACCCTACAACGTACATGATCACATGAAATAGAGTAATTGTTTGTGCAAATCAGCCCAGAAACAAACTCAATTCAAAAGGTCTGCTCACAATAATACTCTTCAAGTTCATAGTACTAATCTTGGTTCCAAATTAATTGCAGAAGGACTTATTTCTAGAAACTAAGAAAAAACAAAGTAACTGAGAAACAGCGGAAATCAAAGCCATGTAATGGAATCTCTGCTTCTAGTAGCATGAGTAAAACCAGAGAGTGAACAACCACCTGACTATCACTGGCATAAGATGGTAAGAAAACGACAAAGCAAGGAGAGAAAAGAGTGCAGGAACAGCTATAACGTTTTCAGGTATGGAGTTAGGAGACAGGATTGGTAAGTTTAAGTTTTAGGAGAGGCTGAAAGCTCTGTATCAACACACACAAGTAGTTTACAGGATTCTGAGATACGACTTCAGCTGAGTGATCCAGTCCCAATTTGGTACCTAATCTTCTTGTTTTCAAGTGGACTTGGAACACTTTGCCTTACATACTGGACCATCATGGAAAAAATAATACTGAAGAGAATAAACTCAAAATTTCTGGCAAATAAATTGAAGAAAATAACCTCTGTCGAGGGGTAGATAATGACACCTTTGGAGTACTGGTCAACCTGACATTTGAGGAACAGGGAGAGTATGAAAATATTGATCTTGCAGCAGAGAATATGCAAATTGTAAGAAAAAGAGAAAGTAAGGCACTCTTGGTGTAGCACAAAAGGTTACATAATTAAAGGTTGCATACTATGCCCAACAACTTACGATGTCTTTAAGCACTTCAGTCACTGTTAAGTTTGCATTGCCTCCTTTTATAAGCATAGCATTTTTTGTATTTTCTTTAAGTTTGGGTTCTCTCTTCTCAAGAAATCTTTTTGCTCTCTTAGTTTTAGGCTTTCTGTAACAATAAATTAACAGTTAAAAACTTAACATTTGTAACAACACCCGACACCGCGGAAAATAGCAGAACAAGAATTGGAACAAGGTGTGTCCAAGTAACTTGTTTCAGTGACTCAAGTGAACCCCAACCTGCAGAATTACAATCAATGCTAAAAGCCCCGTCTCAGATGAACGTGTTCTACTGCCACTCCTCTTCCTCCCCGTCCCCCTAAGCTAGCAAAGGTCTTTACAGTCTTGGGCTTTTCAGTCTCTGCTCATTTAGAGCTTAAGCTATGCCAGAATTCCTACAGACTACTGACAGGCTGAAAGCTTCCCAGCTCCCTCCCCAACTCAGAGACCCTCATATGAGAGGAAAACAAATTTCCTCAAAGACCATCAATGGCATCTAAAGGAAAAGCTCCAGCACGGCACATCTGTTGGCACGAAGGAGAGCGCGGTACTGCGCGTTATTCAGGTGGAATACACCGGCCTGAGCAGGGGCACAGAGCTTAGCCAAGCTAATAACGACAGGGCTTAAGAACTACATTACTCCACTAGATGAATGTAAAGCTTTTAGTATCTTCTCCGTGAAGCACTGCGTTTATTTTCTTTTAAAACACACCAACAAAACACCTCACACGGGTACTTCGAACTGCAGATG